GAAACTGACACTCGGGCAAATTCTCCTGATCCGTCTCCTGCGACTGGAGGACTCCCTGCGCAGCAGCAGGCAAGTTGGATCTGCCGCCGCCTGGCTTGCGGCCATTGGTAGCCAAGCGGACGTCCACTGGATGACAAAAGCACACGGCCTGCGGACCACGCTTCGTCAAGAGGGCGACCAGATCTTCCTTGCTCTTGGCATTTGCCAGCAACCGCAACCTGTCCCCATCCACCAAGACTCTGTCAACTTCACCGGTGTGATCTGCCAAAGTCACTGTGGCCAAGATGGATACCTCTTCCTCTCGAATCGTTTGGCAGTTGTGACTTTCATGACGTTTGCAATGCCCGGTCATCAAATCAACCTTCGTCGCGCAATTCTTGCATGCCGTGTAGATGGGATCCCCCAAGATGCCTGTGACCCAAACGCAGTTCAACTGCACTTCGATGATCTCTTGCTGTGCCTGACAACAGATAATGATAAAGAAAGGGAAAACACAACAAGCAATCAACAAAGAAAGACTCCCAATCACACGGACTAAGTGTGTTCATTACAAGCTAGTTCAGCGCGACACAGCGGCCTCTAACATCGCATCCGTAAGCGCCAGAGAGCACGAAGATACAGTGGCGCAGCACGAAATGAACTTCTCCATGCCATCCGACACCATTCGACGTGAAGCAGTCTGGAGATGTCTGGAGCCAAGGCACGGACAGCGCCTCACCCCGCGTGTCGGACAAAGCCTTCAGTTTCTCGACACGACTGCCTGTGGGATTGACATGCAAAGCACTGAACCAATTCCTGCTGCTATCCATCCAGTGCTCACAGCTCGCCTCGATGCCGGCAGGGATCTTCGACAACAAAGCATTGTCCACCTGCACCACCGAGCCAACATCGATTTCGTTGCCCTTGGCAACAAGACGCCCTCCCCATAGATGCACAGCCAGTTCGTTGAAAGACTCATCCTTCAGCCACAATGTCATCTTTTGGACTCTCATCGTGGGCGTCTCCTTCCGGGTCACCTTTCCAATGACATCCGCCCTCTCCTTTCCTTCGGAATGTTCCGCCAAAACACCAAAGTTGGACCTGGCGGTGGGGAAAAGGCCGCGCAACTTCATCGCACTGGCATGAGCCTCTGCCACCGGCGACACCTTGCCCTTGTTCGTGACATCGGCAGAGAAACCGGACAAAAAAAGTGAATTCTGCACTACAACAGCTTGCGTCAATTGGATGTATTTGGGTTGGTAAAACTCCTGGGCCCACTTGCGAACACCGCTCTCAGAAGATCCCCGGATCTCTGCATAGAGTCCCTGTCCCTTTTGATCCACGAGCCGAACGATCGACTTCCACCAGGTGCCCTTATCTTTTCCAGGCAACTGCTTCATTTCATGGTACACCGGACGCAAAACCACCATGACCATGTGGGTGTTGCTCTTCGTAATGCGTTCCAAAGTCACTTCTTGCAAAGACATGTTTTCAGACCGCGGTGACAAGAGGCCCGCGAATAGGTGCATGCAGCACCAAAGAAGGCAAGTGAGAAACAAATTATAACAGTGCGTGTTTGGCAGTGATTTTACGCTATGTTGCAGAAATCAATGGCTCTTGCACAAGCCGCGGTCTCGCGGACAGTCCCAACAGAAAACCGTGGCTTGTTTGACATTCTGCATGCAACTGTTTTCGTTTTTGTTGACACATCTTGCTTGCACATGATGCCCAAATTGGTCAATGGATTTGAGCCTACACCGTGAAGCCATCAACGCAAACACCGTGACAGGACAACATCTTGGCAAGGAAGTGCAAGTACACAACTGCAATTCATAATGAGCATCCACAAACAGTTAGTTCAAGTTCTTACAACTATCCGAAACATATCCCAAAACATGCACAAACCAACACAGACCCGAAATCAACGGATGTGTGCGCAAGACACGTTGTGTTCACGTGGTGCAGCGATGAATGCGCAAGTCGTCACTATACCACACATGTTTCCAGGCAAACAGTTCTATAACGATGTGCGAGAATTTGACTCACTCCAAGACCAAACACATCCATCAAAAACCCAGGCCGGTACCAAACTGCCGCAAGAGCCACCTCGGAAATTGCAGATTGCACGACATGCTGTACATGGTCATTGTCAGAATGGCATGTTGCCGTGGATGACATCATTTGCAATAATCAATAGAGGTGCATCGTCACATTTTTCAGGACGCAACACGCCTTCTGCGACCGTCGACAGAACGGACAGACCCTATCACTCTTGGAAGGTCGAGAAGCATCACACTGCTTGCAATGAAAAAAATGCTGTGCACGAAGAATCACGCTGCGTGATGCACGGACAGTTCCTATAGCACCACTGTCAGCAATGATTTTGCAACCAAAAAAAATAAACTACCACTTGGCACTCCTCACTTTCAAGGGCGTTTCCTCAACCAAGTCGACCAAAAGCTCGGCAGCCTCATAGCAGCATCCACGCACCGCTGCATGCAGTGGAGTGTCCCCGTTGCAATCCTTTGCCCTCATATTCGCTCTTGCATCCAGCAGCAGCCTGCAAATAATCACATCATTTTCTTCCGCTGCCAGAAACAGAGGTGTTTGACCCCATCGATCGCTTGGGCTCACCGCTGCACGGTGCTGGAGCAGAAGTGCAACCTGCCGGCTGAAGTTATTGCACGCTGCGACATGCAACGCCGTTCTCCCGTATACATCTGCGGTGTTTGTCGACGCGGATGCCTCCAGCAACAACTTCACCACAAAATCGCGGCCGCCTTGAGCTGCGAGATGCAACGGCGTCCTTTGCCGCTGCCCCGTCCGCTCGGTATCGGCCATGGCTTCCACTAACAAGCAAACAGTCCTTGCTGCTCCTGCTTCGGCAGCAGCACACAAAGGTGTCACACCATCAAAGTCGTCCTGGTTTGGATCCAAAGGCAATTGCAACATTTCCTCCACTGTCATTTCATTGTTTTCAGTGGCAGCCAAGTTCAATTCAGACATGACCACCGGATCATGGGTCACAAACGGCAGAATCACGAGCTGCACAACCAATGGTCCATAGGCACAAGTAAACGTGTAAGCGTCGCCAAGCAATGCCTCGTGCAGAAACAATCTCAGTCGATGTCGGGACATGCCAATTGCAACGGCGATGCTGCCCTTAATCCACTTTACGGGTTTCCCTTCCACCACATCGGCTGGCAGAGACACAACCAGCTCACCGGAAGCAGAGTAGCATACTTCCATGGCGAAAGACACAAGCAACGAGAAAGCGGTCACGAGCAACACACAATCTCACTGTTTTTTTTTCACCAAAAAAAGTTCAAATCGATGTCATCTACTGATCACGCAAATCATCCCAGAAAGCTCGATACCATGATGTCACGTATGACACCTGTTGTTTCATTTTCGCATAGACAATCCCACAAGAATGATCCAAAAAGATCGGTACAATGATGCTTCACTAGTGAAATGTCTGCAGATGCTTGCAACAGAGGCCAAATGCAAAAGCCAAGTCAAAAAGAAAAAAAGTTTGAGTTACAGACGAAATCAAAGGTATTGAGCAACACTCGTAGGTCGTGGCCTTGGTGTAGTGCCGTAGTGAACGACACAATCAATAGAATGCCAACAGAACACGGGTCCTGAGATTTTTTGACTGCAAAACACAACACCAGTTTCGATCCTGAATGAGAGCTGCGCCTCACTGACCCAGGTCATGCAAGATGCAGCGTCACGTTCTGATATTCTCACTGTCACATGATCCGTCTCAAACACATGCATTCATATAGAAGAATGTTTGATAGAACATATTTTGATACACTGGCACAAAGATGCACCACTAAACTGTCTTTTTCGAAGCAAGAGCCGCGAAGCGCGATCGTGCAGACAATGCCAGTGGAACTGCGTTATTTCCCCATTGCTCGGACAGTCCCTTCCGCAATGAGTACTGAACGCAAAAGCACACGGCAACAAACACATGGCACTACAGCGCATCCCGCGCATCATCTCGCATTCCTCAGTTCCTAGCAGGACGCTCATGAACCGGCTCATTAGCAACCATGGGGTCGATGATCTGATAGAGCAATCTTCCCTGCTCATCACGTTCTTCTGGAACAAGAAATCCATACCAACGAAACTCACCAGGTTGAACCTTCTCCAGGACATTTGCCTCCATCTTTCGAAAGTAACCCAGAGCAGTTATTTCTACCTGGAGGAAGCTGTAATCGAAGTAGTTGTAAGTGTGACACCATTGAACATCTGTGGCACGCCCAATGGGCGCATGGGTCGCACTCAAATCGATCCTGGAGGTATAGATGTCTGGCTGGATTCTATGATGCGTCCGCAGCTCCTCCATCTGTGGTGGGGCGAGAGCTATCCACAGACGAATACTATCCTCCATTGAGTTCAAACCGAGATTACTTCCCAGACTCAGCAAAGAAAATGGCTTCGCGACACCGATGCCTTGCATGTGGATTGACACTCACTGCAAATCTCTGTCCATGCTGATCTCTAGACTGTGAACTCTACCGCTTACAGTTCTTCCCAAACCAACGACAGACAAGTCTACAGTCAACTTCCAGTTCAACATGACAACTCCACACGCCTAAACTCACAGTTTCACTACAGCAAATCAAAAACAAACCGTTCATGATGACACAACTGACACGTGACAACTGTTTTTTTCATAACAATTCCCATATAAACCACTAAATAAGATCGATACCAAGCTAAGGGGCTGTCCGTGAGATCTCGGCAAACTGTGGCATGCAGCGTCACGCCCTGACATCCTCGGTGCCGCATGCCGCGTCTCAAACACATGCATTCACATCAAATTTTGATTGACGACAATGCACCTCGCACAGAGATGAACCACTAAACTCTGTCTTTTTCGAAGCAAGAGCCGCGAAGCGCGATCGTGCAGATGATGCCAGTGGAACTGCGTTATTTCCCCATTGCTCGGACAGTCCCTTCCGCAATGAGTACTGAACGCAAAAGCACACGGCAACAAACACATGGCACTACAGCGCATCCCGCGCATCATCTCGCACAGATTTTCTCACTTCAATCCAACAAGTGATCCACTGCCATCGAAACAACGTCACGATCACAGCTGCTCGAACCAGTTGCTTAATCTCCTGTGCAGTCATTTCGAAGTTATAGAATAAGAGGTGTTTTTGCCAATGCTCCACATTCTGCACAGAAGGCCCAGCTCTTGGAAGCATCCAACAGCAAACGCCTTCGATCACGTCGTTGAGATAATCTGGGCAAATCCCATAGCGAATGCGTCCCTCTTCTTCTTTTTCTCCGGGATAGAACCACTCGACCTTCATGTGCTTCAGCAAAGCAATGAGGCGATCTGAACTCGCAAAGTTGTAGGCACATTGACTTGTGGCCTCCCAACAGAAGGCTTTCCCAGAAGGCGTCTCCCGGTTGGCCCAAATAATTCTTTCCAGAGGCAACATAGAATGAATAGTTCGCATCAAATCCTGCACATGCAGCGCCAGTCATCAGGTGTCAAACACTTCAATTAAAATCATCAGCCATATATCCAAAAATTCAAATCTAAAATCGAAAAACAACGGAAATAACATGAAAGCGAAAACCAGCGGTTTCCAACGCAACTCCTGCATGACCGAGTGAACATTGTGGTCCGAAACGCCGTCTGGCAATTTGTCCTTTCTTCTTTGCCGTTTTCCGTCCTTATTCTTGTCACGATCGAATGGTAGGTGGCCTTGTTCCTGTCTTTCCACAAAAGTCAAAGTCTCACTCTTTCGAGTGGGCCTCGCAAAGAAACCTTTCTGACCTGGTCGAACCACAAATTTGTCTTCGAGGTCTTGCAGTCCTTGTTTCATGACTTCATTTTGCCACACGTCCAAATCCATGCGACCCAGCACTTCCTGCGCAAAATGCTGCAGTGAAGGATTGAAGCACTCCGATGTGATCTTGTTCCACAAAAAAGAAGCCATGCGCGAAGACGGGTGGAGACATTCAGTGATAACCAAATAACTGCCGGAGATCTGTTTTTTGCTCTCAGGCCTAGTTTCACCATGTCTTTTGCACACCGCCACGTTCGTTTCTCCTTTCTCCATCAAAAGCTCTTTTGGCGCCGCCAAGATGACGACCGCCCATTGCGTCGGCTCTTCAGATTCAAAACAATGCAGCATCACCGTGCTTTGGCGTCCTCTAGCAGTATTCATTTCAACCTTGCAAACCACCAGCGGCGATTCCCGGAGAAGTTCAACACAAATGGTGTCACCCCACGTGTCGATCTCCCTCGTAGGTGGAACCTCGTGCACAACAACCTCTGGAGATCTAGCAACGTTGCGATGAAAAGAAGAGCTGGAAGCAGCACCAGCAGCCTGCGTTCGTGGAAGTTTGTCCTCGTGCCAAGGGTATGGAAAATTGCTCTGACGAACTGCTCGAAACTCAACGGTCATAGCTGACACAGCCTCTTGAAACTTCGTCCATTCTTTGGGCTCTCCCGGTTGAAACCTGATTTTCATTTTGACAATGTTCGTTCTTGGGTAATAGAAGTACAGAAAAAAACGTAACAACATCGAATTAAATAAAGAAAACCTTACATATAGATATATTTATGCAAGCTACTGTTTCAGATCTGAATAGAAACTGCCCAACTCACGATGTGCGAGGTGTGTGGAGACCAAGGCAAGCAATTTCTGAAATTGTTCGTGCCAAGAATCTCCAATCAAACTTTGTCTCCGCAGTTCGGCAAGGAACCCTCGATCCTGGGAAACAAGGTTCTGGAAAATCATTCTCATCCCCTTTCCCAAAGTCTTGTATTTGTCTTCCTCACCCACGGCACGCAAACCATCCAGATCGTGCATCACCCACTTGCCGACCACACCCCTCTGCGCGATTCCCAAGTTGTCCAGCTTTGCGTCCCACGGAAAAACACCTTTTCTCATGAACTCGAACAACACTTCCAACATGTTCATGTACTCCTTGCAGGCTTCCCACCATCCGTCGGCGTCACACTGCTGCTTGGAAACTAGTAATCGAACCTTTTCCAATCCGACCGCCATCAACTTTTCCTGGACCGTGATAGATGCGACAACATCTGCAGCCGACAAGCGCGGCACTTGCTGACCATAGAAACTGTTTCCTGGGAACAAAATACCATCCTTGCCAGCTGGAAGGCTACTTCGAAGATACACCTGACCATAACAAAAGGCCATCCAGTCCGAAAGACTGCCACGGTACATGTCAAACCGCTTCTGCTCTTCTTCTGCACCTCCATGTGGCCACGTTGCACTATTGCGATGCTTCAACATCATCTTCACCACCAGGAGATGGTTGTCCAAAACGTAAACATCTTTGAAGGCGCCACAGCCGGCAGGTGTCATGACATCTCGGATAGTTGAAATCACATTTGGGTCCTCCTGAGACCCAAACACCAGCGTCACACTTGCTCTGAGAATCAAAGCTTGGGATGGCGCTTTCTTAGAAACCTTTCTCCATGTTATCTCGAGATCCGAGATCTTGGCCTCCACGAGCCTATAGGAGCGAAGTGCTGCCTCCAACGACATAGCGGCACACTTGAAAAGAGAAAGGCTATGTCTCAAATTTTCAATGACTACATGTTTGAGAACATCATCGGGCAGTTTCAAATCTCGAGATCTCACGGACAGTCCCTTCAGAAATCTCGAGAAATGCAACAACCGTTTGGGGGTGTCTTGTCAAGCATGCCTACACCATTTGCGCACGCTGCATGGTATTTTCTTTCCCCATGCGTGACTCTTGTCTTGTCCATTTCCTGCCATCCGAGCCCAGGAATGTTTCATTCACATCTATGGAGCAAAGAGGTCAACAAGGTCTGTACGTGAAACAATGAATTCCCATGGAGCAACACAAAGCATACTCGCTGAAGCCCGAGACTGGGATCCCGACTCCGGAGCTTGCGATAACGAAGCACCATCCTCTGGAGAATGACCTGCAAGCTCAAGACTCAACTGCTGCTTCTTCACCCTGACAAGACTCGTGTGACACTACCCTTACCAGGACATGCCAACGCAAGTACATCAGAAAAGCTCGGCACCATGATCACCTGTATGACATGCGCTGTGTATGATTCCGCTCTACAAAGCTGCCATCCTTTTCTCACAAAACGGGAATCACATCCCGGGCAGCTTCAGGTGACGCACGGACGGTTCCTACAATGTCACCTTCAATGGGCTTCAGGTGACACACGGACAGTTCCTACAGTGTCACTGTGAAACGCTTCTAAAGATTCTTGTCACGGAGCCACGCATCGATGTCCGTGGGAATGTTGTAAGTCGTGTTCGAATCTGCCCACCCCCGAGCATTTTTCCCGCACGACTCACAATTGACATCAAAGTCTGGCTGCGCCGCATAATATTTCAGGCACCTCAAACAATGAGCCTCAGCAGCAAAGAGAAATTTGTATTCCATCCGTCTCTCCTCGGTGATCGTCTTCTTTCTTTTCTTCGAGATACCATGTCCCAGAGGATAGTTCTCATCGAAGTCATTGCAATGTGGAGCGTCGCGACACAGTGTCGGACCTTCACTATCCGAGTCTTCATCGCTCGGAGACGGTGGTGCAAATCTCATTTTGCGCCAAAAGGTACCATCATCCATTTCCTCGCCGAGCCGGCCTTCACATAGCATTCTCCAAGCTTTCAAGTCCCGAAGAATGCACTTCAAGTTCGAAACAAATCGGAGTGAATGACCACGCGATTCGAGATTCCCAAGCTCATTCTGCAAATAGGGCAACGAAACTTCCTTGCATGTCTTGTCGTTGCATCCCAAATTGAAAAGCAAACTTCTGAATCTTGAGATCAACATGTGCTGTCTGTCCCGGATATCACACAACTTCCAATCTTCAAACTCCAGCAATAATCCTTTCAGTTCACGCAAATGTTCTTCTTCACTCTCGTCCCTCGGAGGCTGCGGATAAGAGGCCATGACATCTCGGGCAGCTTTCTCGACAACTTCCAAGGACGCGTCCTCTACATCGAGCACCACCCCAAGCTCCAACAGCAAATTCTGATACTTCAAAAGCAGGAACGCGATAATTTTTTGTTGATCTTGGACGTTAACACTGGGGCTCGACATGTCGCGAACCGAGTTCTTCTACAATGTTACAGTACACCACCACACATCCCGAACAACGTCTACCAATTTGAATATATATTTTTATATTGTTCACTGTTCATGCGTTTCAACAAAACTGAACGGTATAAAATTGAACGGTACAATGCTTCCCGTAATATTTTTTTTTGTCCACTGCTCATGCATTTCAATGAAAAACAAAAACATCACATATTGTTTTTTTTTCGTGCTATACATCACATAGATCCACTGCATCGTAAACAAACACTGATATTACCACTTGCAATTCTCGGGATCTCACGGACAGCCCCTACAGAAACCTCGAGAAGAGCAAGAAATGTTCAAGATATCTGTTTGCCAACCGTGTTTCCTGCCTACAAAATGCATCTTGTTTCTCCGTTCACGTCTGAGCCCAGGAAAGTGGTAAAGAGGCAAAGAGCAGCTTGTTTCGTCTTGCATCATCGTAGACAAACTATGCTTGTTTCGTCTTGTTCAAGAGAAACTGAGAACACAATCGAATGCAAAGAATTCGTTCTCCGACTTCAAAACTCAGAGCACAATTGCTAAGTTTGACACTGGGCATGGGCACCATTGTCGCAGAGACCTGCAAACTGCTGAACAGTGAAGCTGGCGATGAACACATCAAATCAACACACTTCAAAAAAATCGGTTACCGTGAATCGCCGAATAAAACCACATGTTGTGCAATGAAAATGACCTGATGCTGGTGAAATCTCAGAACAGATCATAACAGTGCATCTCAATGCATGACATCACTGCATGGATGACGGTCAACCGCGGAACTACTTTTCAAAACGGCACTTCCGTTAACCACCACGCATCACGAACAGTCTCTTTAAATGCGGGTGGAATGTTTGCCCTCAAAACAAACTATACACACATTCTCACAAGTTGTACTTTTTCAAAATGGCACTTATGTTGCCCACCACGCATCACGAACAGTCTCTTTAAATGCGGGTGGAATGTTGGCCATCGAAGCAAACTATATACACATTATCACAAGTTGTGGCGTTGCAGCCATCGTTCCACATCATCTGGGATAGGTACCGTGGTACGCTTTCTGCTACCCGTGGAACTGGCAGCCCATTGGCGAGCATTCATGTTGCAAGATTTACAGGTCACATCAAGACCGGGCTGCCTCGCGTAGTAATCCATGCACTGAACGCATTTTCCATGTGCGGAATACAAAAACTTGTATTCGAGCAATTTTTGAGCAGGAACGGCACCATGCCTAGTATCAAAATCAACACAGTGAGGCGTACCAGTGCAAGGCTCCGAAGCCTTGGTCGAATCCGACTGCGAAGTGCCAGCATCACCTTCTGGATCCTTGCCCGCTGAAGCATTGGGCATACCACCATCCGAACTAGTAGCACCGGTACCTGTTCCTGCCTGTGCAGACTGCGCGCCAGGCTGTTGCGAACCACTTGGAACGCCATCTCCTGATTCAGACTCCTGATGCCCTGCACCTCTGCGTTTCCACTGCCGAACCAACAAAGGAGGAACACGCCAGGGCTCTTCCCACATCCCAGGATGAGCATTCAGCGCAGCTTGAGTTCGCGCCGGGACGACGTCTGCACCAGCTGCTTTGAACTGTCGCGGAACACTACGCGTCAGTCTCTCCCAGGCCACATTCCAGCGTTTCATTTGAGCCTCCGCCATCATCCTTCTCTCATCGTCTTGCTTGTCCGGATGCAGTGCCAATGCAACTTGCTTCCGCCGCGGCTTCAAAATGTATCGGAACTCATCCTCCGACATGTCCACAATATGGGATCGCTTGCAGCCCAGAACTTCCAACACCCAGGCCACTTCCTCATCCTCCGGCGGTCTCCACGCGGCCGAGACAAAATTAAATACGCAATGATTGCCGTAATATTTTTCCACTGTTGATGCATTGAAATGAATGAAAGCATCACATATATTTTTTTGTGCTATATATCACATAGATCCACGGCATCGTAACCAAAACCTGACATCATCACAATGCAATTCCCGAGATCTCACGGACAGCCCCTACAGAAACCTCGAGAAGTGCAACAAATGTCCAAGATATAAAATGGCCGATCGTCAAAATTGAACGGTACGATGATTCCCATATAATTTGTTTTGTTCACAGTTCATGCGTTTTGACAAAATTGAACGGTACAACATTGAACGCTACAATGCTTCCCGTAATATGTTTTTTTTTGTCCACTACTCATGCATTTCAATGAAAACATCACATATATTTTTCGTGTTATACATCACATAGATCCACTGCATCGTAATAAACAAACACTGACATTACCACAATGCAATTCTCGAGATCTCATGGACAGCCCCTACAGAAACTTCGAGAAGTGCAAGAAATGTTAAAGATAACTGTTTGCCAACCGTCACTTGTTTCCTCCGTGCACAATGCATCTTGTCTTTCCGTTCACGTCTGAGCCCAGAAAAGAGGTAAAGAAGTAAAGAGGTGCACTATGCTTGTTCCGTGTTGCATCATCATGGACTTCGAAACTGAGAACACAATTCATGAGTTTGACACTTGGCTACGCACTCGCACTTCGCAACTCGAAGCACAACTGCTAAGTTTGACACTGGACATGGGCACCATTGTCGCCGAGACCTGCAAACTGAACAGTGAAGCTTGCAATGAACACGTCAAAGCAACACATTTCAAAGAAATCTGGTACCGTGAATTCCCGACTAAAACCACATGTTGTTCATTTGAATAGACAATTTCCCACACAGTTTGCCAACAAAAACAAGCAAAAGCCGGTACCATGATTCTATAAACTACATCCGTCATCTTCATGAGTTCAAGGTAAGCGAGCATCACGCACATTCAAATCACCTCAGCAGCATAGAAGACTCTGCAGAATGCCAAGTCCTTCAAAAGACAAACTGTGACAAGAAACATTAACAACAGACATGGCAACGAAAGACGCACATGCAATTTGTAAGTAAAAACTTCAAGTGTGACACCTGTTGATCAAGCGCAATGGAAGCATCCACTTTCCCAATCGCATCAGATGATAAACAACCTATATACTGTCCCGCGCATCAATTCGCAGAACTCTGTGTTTCTCTCGCATGACGTCCAGGATTGTCCACATCGCCAACAACAGTTCCACATGTTGTTAACAGATTGTGAAAAACAAATGGCCTCACAGAGACCCGTGAAGCAGAGGGATACATACACGGACAAACCCTACAGCACGTTGTCTCTCCACATCACTGGATGGCAAAAAACAAAAACAAATGGCCTCACAGAGGCCCGAGAAGCAGAAGGATACATGCACGGACAGACCCTACAGCACGTTGTCCCTCCACATCACTGGATGGCATACGCAGTCGGCATCACTGTATAATACAGTGTGCCGTCCGGCCCCACCTTCTCTGCAGACAACTTGTCGAACAATCGAAAGTATCCCGGAAAGTTCTCGAATTGCCACAG